TTTTATGTTAACTGCTATTCTTCCCCAATCAGAAAAAACCTGGCACATAGGAAGACGGATCTCTCTGGTGTTGTTGATTTCCATTCCGTTCTCAAATCATTCAGACAAGATGGCGCAACTCCTGCTGGGATCTTCAAGTACGAGTGCAAGGGTTTCAGACTACCAGTTTTCTGTTTCGAAAAACGCCCAGGTATGAATTAAGTTTTCGTCTCTTATTAGAGCGATATATTTTCCTTTTTATCATTCACATATTATTTTGGGCCTGTTAGATCTGTATTTGATAAATGCCATTTAAATAGATTTATATTCTGATGCAGAACTGTTTGAATGCCCAATTTTTATATCCAAACAAATCTAAACTGTCTGGTTTTAATTTGGTAGATTTGTCGGATTAAAAAATATTTAGTAAATCCCATTGAATAAATTTTTTTAAATCCCAGTTTTACCAGTATTTGAATTAAAATTTATATCCTGCAGGATTTTAGATCTAATTTAGTGGTTGTTTGGTGACAAGTAGTATTTATTGCGATTTTAGATTCTGACAATTGTCTCACATTATAGATGTTAAATACGGTTAAGTGCTAGTAAATTATTAGATATATATTTTCCGAATTTAAGATTTAAAGGAAGAAGAAGAAGAAGAAGAAGAAGAAGAAGAAGAAGAAGAAGAAGAAGAAGAAGAAGAAGAAGAAGAAGAAGAAGAAGAAGAAGAAGAAGAAGAAGAAGATACACAATGAGGATAATAGTAAATCTATTTGATCTTCTCTAGGATTTACTAAGGGTTTGTTTGGCGCAGCTGCAACTTCTCAACTTTTCAACTGCAGCTGCACTGCCCCAAAAAGCTGCTGCGGGGAAGCTATTGTCTGTTTGTTGCAGTTGTTTTGTAAAAACAACTGTGAGACATCTGTTTCTGGAAAAATGATCAGTTTGTTCCTGTTTAGTAATTTTTTTTTGTAACAGAAATGTGACACCAATATATTTGATATTTCACAAGCAAAAATTCATTTCAAAACACAACAAAAGTTTTGATATACTACTCACTTAACAGTGAGTATCAAAAATGCTAGGAAAAAGAAACATAAAAAAAACTCCCATGTGATTTTCAGTTTTGTGAAGTAATGCTAACAAAATTTTGACAAGATTTGGGGAAAGTAAAATTGGACTAGAGGAAACCTAATCACCTGCGGGAATCAAATAAACATCCTATGGCAAATTTCACAAACCATAAGTTGGAATCAAATTATTTTTTCTGAACATAAACATCACCCTAAACACTTAACCTAAAGCTTCATACTCTGGATGATTTAAAACATAAATCCAAAGTAACCACACATGATTCAAGGAGGAGATGAAGGTTTAGGTTTACTCGATGGAGGCCCTCTTACAAGCTGTGATCCTGTCATTACCTACTAGTAAAGCTTCGTTCTGCTAATTGAATCGTTGAACAACAAGAATTCACTGAAACCTACCTCACAAATCCCTTAATTCAATAAAATCCATTGAACTCACGCGGTCATTACCAATGCATACATGAAAAACACAGAAAACTCATTTGCACCTACTAACCACATCTACAACTCAACCATTAACTTCTATTAGCACCCACACTGCAAATATAAAAATCAAGAAAACGCATTTGCATTTTTTAGTTTAAAGCAATCAACGTAGCCCTTAAATGCAATATATACCAATTCCAACCAACTTAATATAAGGGCCGGTGAAGAGTATGCCCATCTCAAACATATATTCGTTCTACTTAGCATCATGCTCAAGTCAAAAAAATATGCAGAACAGAGAGGCATATAATCCAAATATACCAACCCCATGATGCTCACGGCTTAAAGAATATTTATATGCCCATCTCAAACATATATTATTATTATACATTACATCTCTCATGAACCATGCAAACATGCATTAATCATTGGAAGATTTACATACATACCACTCAATTCATATATACCATGTTTAGTGTCTGCATTGAAAAGTTAGAAAAAAATATTATGTTAAAAGGTCCATGCCTGGATTGGAAGGAGAAGTCTAATGAGCATTTAGCAGATTCAACTAAAAGAGGAAGTAGATGAGGATTAGCATAAGCAAAACCCATAACACCACAACAAAGATAGAGTTTCATTATAGACAAATAGGCAGCTAACTACAACTACTCAAAGAGCTGCAATTTTCCCATATGCCGAAAAAATACAGCTAACATAATCTCCATAACACAACAGGAAGCATGAAGTTTCAGTACAGATTAATAGAGAGCTCAACATAACTAATCAGAGAAAGCTGCGCTCCTTCTATCCCACAGCTAAACTTTAATGTACAGGTATTTTATAAACGAGATTATAAAAAAAGTAACATTCCATAAGAAAAAAATTAGAAGGCAAGGGCAAAAATGAGGTCTCAAATGTAACTCGAATCCAAAAAAAAAGAAGAAGAATGAAACTTTCCAATGGTGATGGCAGCAAAGGTTGCCAAAAAAATCTATGGGCCATCTTTGGGAGCAATAAGTTTGAGCTTTCTATGGTATATTTCACTCGAAGTCTCCCCTGTTGACTTTAATAGCATTGTAGATTTAAACAGTTCAACACATACTTAGTTTTTGGCATAAGTTTGAGTCCTAATTGGTGACTCAATAGCAATGGCTCAGTGGAGAAGAATCAATTACCACATTGGAGCCTACATAGCCCTTTCAAATTGTTTGTTATTGCCAATGAGTCCAGAAACAAGAAGCAAAAGAAGTTTAATACAAGAAAAAAAGGGTAAGGGTTGGGGGGGTGGTGTACGCACCACACATTTCTTATGGATTTACCTAACACATCTTCACATGCATAAGATTGAAATCCTTAACATCACATTAAAATTGTCACCATTATTAATTTTTTTTAAATTGAAATACACCTTCTCATTCATAGGAATATGACACCATTGTTATAATTGTAAACATCAAAGTTTAAGTGATAGATATGTAAATACACAAGAATTGAGTACTATCTATGTAAATTTACCAAAAAAACAATTACACAGCAAAGCACAGTGCTTGCAGTTTGAACAAAATAAACCTTCGCTTTTATTTTGCAGTCACATTATTATAGCGAGAAAATTGGAGCAAAAAACAGTGATAATCTTATTCCAAATCAAAATACCCTTGTATTCAACCAAGAAGGTCACCCTATTTCCTTCAGAAAGTTGAGCGAAGGAGTCAAGCAGTGAGGTTCGACGTCGCAGTGGAGCGAAGGTGTCAAGCAAGAGGAAGGGAATGTCAGAGCGCTACCCCAAATTGTGCGGAAGGGGATCACGAGGAGAGGCTTACCTTACGAAGGATGGCTGGCTGGAGTCGAGCGCACACGCGACAGTGGGGACAAGCGGGCCGTGTGAGGTTCATTGTCGATGCGAAGCAAATGTTTCATTACGACAGGGCAGAGGTATTATCGATGAATGCTCCCATGAACGCGAGACACGGGGTGCGATCCGGGTCTCGCGTTCCGTCTGATTTGCGTCTCGCCATAAGTGGGACGCCGCACGGTTTCATTACGACAGGGCAGAGGTATTATCGATGAACGCTCCCATGAACGCGAGACACGGGGTGCGATCCGCGTCTCGCGTTCCGTCTGATTCGCGTCTCGCCATAAGTGGGACGCCGCACGAAACAACAAAAAGTCGCAGTGCCTGACCGCGATACTCTCATGCCGCGGCGCGAAAAACACCCTAAATTTCAAATTTACCTTAAAACAAGATTTTAAAATGAGTACGAGTTATGTGACATTAAAAAAAAGTGTTTGGTCAAATTTTGCATGCATGTTCGTTTTGTTATAATTAAGATTCAATAAATCTCGAGAGGTTTAACATTTGAAAATGGCCTGACATGATAACTATTAAAACTTATTTAAAGCTAATAAATTAATTGACTATCTTTCTAGGATTTAAATTCTTAAGAGGGGGAGATTGTTGAATATTTTAAATTCAGTGAATGGTTGTATTTAATAAATTTAGAAATTAATCTATAAAAAAATGAGTTTTAAAGTCTCAGAGACGTATTTGTGAAGATTGAAGCCAAATGTTGCTTAAATACTCTCAAAAATAGGATACTAAACATCCCTCAAATCTTGGTTGAATACATATGACCAAACAATCTCATAGGTTGTATTTCAAAATCCCTTCTAAAAACTTTGCCAAGTTTTAGTTTAAATTCTACCTAACTTTCACTATAAATTGGCAACCAAACCGCTCAGTAATGTCTGCTTTTGTTAGTTTTAAACTTATAAAATTAGTTCTTGCTCTTGTAAGTTCTCGTAATTATGGCTAGATGAATCATGATAGGCGGTCGTAATCGAGAAATGGGATAAACGAAACTTTACCTTGCATGGAGGGCTAGGAGAGCTTGATTTCTAGAAAAAGGATTTGTTGTCTATCTTGCCTCTTTCACATTTTTTTTGAGAACACTTGGAGAGTAATCATAAGTCAATCATTGGTCTTATCTAGTTTTTCAACATTCCTTTAGTATAAGAAACAATACTAAGGAACATAGTTTAAATTTCGGCGCATTTAGTCACTTTTATTTGCATTGGAATTTTTTTGCGAGCTTGGAAGGTTGGTCATTGTATTTTATGTTGAGGACGTTTACTTTTCATTTCATCTGAACTGGTGTTTGTACAATAAGCTTAATTGTAAAGTGCTTTTTAATGTCTATTTTGTTATGGCTGTCCATGTATTTGAATTTTGTGTTTCCCTCTTCTAGATTATGATAATGCTTGTTTTGGTTCCTGGAAGAGAATTTTCATTTACAACTTTAATTAGAAGTTTGTCAATGAATAATTTGTAATTGCAGGTTATCACCAAAAAGAAGGTATAATTTTCCTAGATGAAAATGTCTTCTAGATCCTCATTTAGCTGGATGTGTGGGTTTACAATCGTATAGAAGTTTTTTTTGTTCTTTGCCATGAAGCTAGTTCCATTTTCATAATAATTTTGATAACTCTTATTTATGGTATATATTTAATATGAGATGTCAACAGAAAACAACCACTTATAAACAAATTTATTGATGTGGAACTAATTTGTTTATGCTGTTCCCCGTTTACTATTATCATTCCAATGGATTTTGTGTTTGTTATTGTTTGATACTTGCAGCTATTTGCACTGTTGTTTATCTGTTGGATTGTAAATATGGATTACTATTTACTAATC